TTAGCCCGTAGCCCTGTTCAGTTGTTAATAAATTGTGGTGCCTCCAAACTTATGTGTGTGCCTCGTGAGATACACACTACAGATCTAACCCCAAAAAAATCCCTCTATGGATATTGGTAGCGAAAGCATACTGGTTACACTGTTTATTTATAAATGTGTCGTAACCCTCCACCACCCGACACGGCCAATCAGTAAAAATGTGTCACGTTGACAAAGACAAATAGTTCACTGCTTTAGCCCACCGGTGTGTTGAAGCAACAACATTTACAATTTGAGTACTTCAACACACCGGTGGGCTAAAGCAGTGAACTATTTGTCTTTGTCAACGTGACACATTTTTACTGATTGGCCGTGTCGGGTGGTGGAGGGTTACGACACATTTATAAATAAACGCGATCTAAACCCAAAAATCGTTGATTATGAATAACATTGGTCGCGAAAGCCTACGTGTTAAACTGGTTACACTGTGTACTGTATATACGATATATTAATTTTACGAGTAGATAGCCCGTTGCTCTGCAAACAAAAAATAAGAGACGGCTGTAATTTTCATCTCTTATCACAATACTGTACCCGGGTGATCTACCTTTGAACGTAATAAAATGCCAAGACAATATGTATTGTGACTGTTTTTTCATAGGCCTTTCAATACCATTCTGGCGAGAGAATTATATTAATAGGTGCACACATTGAAAAGTTAGAGTACATTTAAGTGAATCACGTCAGTCTGTATTCGTTGCTCCTACCTCTTCGGTGTCACTCAATCATGTCTTCCGAGCTTCTTCCGCTGTTTCAATTCAATGCAATAATTTTAGTTTTACATGGGAAATCCTTTTATAGCCAGTTACCCAGCTAGTTTATGTGGCAACATTCCACAGCAGCTACGAACAATGGAGCCTTTGTTGTGGTGGAGAGGAGCCCAGCCAGCAGCCAGCCAGGGAACTCTAGGCAGATATTAATTTTATACGAATAGGATGTACTGCATTGCATTGCAGAGCTGTATTTTTGACAATCATCATTAATGCAGCATATGCACTACAATATGGGATAATGCATAGTGTACATTTGTATCATTCTTAATACGTTTATGCATTCATTCAGCATTGATAGATTTACACGTTTGTGTATCATATTCAGCATATAATAGGGACTGTATACAATACAGTACATCAATTACTAATTGCAATTGAAAGAGCACACGACTGCATATCATCGTGTAGCGTTTAATAGTGTTTTTGTTGTTGGGACAATTAGAGGTTAGGGACAATTTGGGGCATTTAGGGGACAATTGGGGGACGATTAAATGCCACGTGCACCAACCACGTTGTGGCTATCGCACCAATCGATGGGGTCACAGGTGACAAGTGACCAATTGGCAGGATCGATGTGCACGGAAATACAAATTGAACGGGGCCCGTCGAATGCATATATCCATGCGTACATGTTGACAAGACAAGACCGGCATTAGTGAATCTTACGGTGGGACCCCGGGGTCCCGAATAAATGGAAGTCAAAATCGTAATGAATTGAAAACATTTTGGCGACTCCGTCACACCGCAGACATAAACGCCGCGACCCGCCTGGCGCGGATCATTCTGTTGTCGTGTCGTCGAAGCGCAGCGGCGGGGACGAATGCGCACAAGAGCTGAACAAGCGAATACTGCACTCCATGCTCGGGTATGGGCAAGATCATAAGTCCTACCCAAAGCTGCTCAAACTGCCTACACGACTTCAGTCCTTTATTTGTCATCACGGGATGCATAATACAGTGAAACTGCTCTCTTATCTTCATTATTATTTGTGACCTGCCAATGTCTGCAGCCAGGATAAATTGATGACAATCCTATTACCTGCTGATATTTAACAGATGAGATGCGTTGCAAAGTGACTTCCTCCTTATTGATAATACTTCTCTTCTCCGTATGCATCTGTGCAGATAGTTTGTTTGCGGTAAAGCCATAGTCCCGACATACCGCTCGTATCAATGCGGATAAGAGGAGCGGCGACCCACTACTCTGTAGAGTAACATTGGTATAAGCGCTTGTTACAATATGAACAGAGCATTAAAAACGCGTACTATTTTGTGTACTGTTTACAACGTGTTCACAAATCCACACTGAGAAACACGATCATTGACAGAGGGGTGTAAATATTTTTTTTCGACAGGGTATTTAAATATAGGTACTGGAGGTAAGTAGTTTTCAGTTTTGAAGGCATAGTTTAACAAGACACTGGCCACCATCCTTCAAACCCATTGGTGAAAAAGAGCAAAGTTTTTGTTTACATTATTTACTACCATAATGAGCCAAGAATGTCTGTGTGTCCCGCGCGTGACGTCACTCCACGTCGACCAGCCCCCCTCATTAATAATCATGAATAGTTTCGATTTAAAGCTTTCGTGACTGCAGGGATTCATCTTCTTGGTTCTTTCGGTAAAGTCACGTAGAAGGGAAGTAATAAAATAATAAAAATAAAACATAATAAAATAATTCTCATGACGTTTCGGCCACAACGCAAGCAGCCGTCCTCAGGTGAAAACCAGTTCCGTCGAGGCGACAGAGTCTGAATGAAACAGCACACGAGCTTGGAGCATATATATAAGCTGGGCGCATTGACAAAGGAATTTGCGTATCAAGAGGAATTTAGCATATTCATGGGAAATGCAGGAATGTGATTAGTACTGCATATGCATGTGCATTATGCAGGATTAACAGCATCAAAGGGAGCTACAGTTGCTGCTGCTGCTGCAGTTGCTGCTGCTGCTGCAGTTGCTGCTGCTGCTGCAGTTGCTGCTGCTGCTGCAGTTGCTGCTACTGCTGCTGTAGTTGCTGCTGCTGCTGCAGTTGCTGCTGCTGCTGCAGTTGCTGCCTTATCCATTTTTAATATAACACTATGTATTATTCTACCCACCTTAATGTGTATCACACTGCTATATATTTACTATACAATTACGACACCATACATTACTCTGCACACTGCACCATGCCAGTGAGTGGAACGCGGTCTGAAAGTCACCGTAAACGTGAACTCAATCAGTTAAGATCCGAAATGGTTTATTACGTCCTTCCAATGATTGCTAAGCCAGAATCCATCTTCTCGGTTAAAATTGTCTCTGTGTTTGTATATGTGGATCGCCTCATGAACGAATCTCTCATGATAGCCAGATGGCTTGCAGAGAACCTCTGTCTTGGAGAAGTCAATGTCATGTGAGCCCACTGAGTTGTAACAGTGATCTGCCACGGCTGAGGTGTTTGTCCTACCGTGTTTCAGGTCTGCTTTATGTTCACGGTGATGGTCTTGAAAGGCTTTCAAGACCATCACCTTACCCTACATTGCTGGGGTCACAAAAAAGATCTCCAAAATCCTGATTAAACAAGATCCAGGTCCGATTCAACACAGTACATAAAATCCGTGATCTGGTACCGTCTGTAAAAGATGTGGTTCCAGACATACAGTACCCTGGCGTCTACAAACTAAGTTGCCTCTGTGGTAGCAGTTACATTGGGGAAACCAAACGACATGTCTCGGACCGCATCCGTGAACATAAAGCAGACCTGAAACACGGTAGGACAAACACCTCAGCCGTGGCAGATCACTGTTACAACTCAGTGGGCTCACATGACATTGACTTCTCCAAGACAGAGGTTCTCTGCAAGCCATCTGGCTATCATGAGGCGATCCACATATACAAACACAGAGACAATTTTAACCGAGAAGATGGATTCTGGCTTAGCAATCATTGGAAGGACGTAATAAACCATTTCGGATCTTAACTGATTGTGTTCACGTTTACGGTGACTTTCAGACTGCGTTCCACTCACTGGCATGGTGCAGTGTGCAGAGTAATGTATGGTGTCGTAATTGTATAGTAAATATATAGCAGTGTGATACACATTAAGGTGGGTAGAATAATACATAGTGCTATATTAAAAATGGATAAGGCAGCAACTGCAGCAGCAGCAGCAACTGCAGCAGGAGCAGCAACTGCAGCAGCAGCAGCAACTGCAGCAGCAGCAGCAACTGTATCTCCCTTTGATGCTGTTAATCCTGCATAATGCACATGCATATGCAGTACTAATCACATTCCTGCTTTCCCATGAATATGCTAAATTCATCTTGATATGCAAATTCCTTTGTCAATGCGCCCAGCTTATATATATGCTCCAAGCTCGTGTGCTGTTTCATTCAGACTCTGTCGCCTCGACGGACCTGATTTTCACCTGAGGACGGCTGCTTGCGTTGTGGCCGAAACGTCGTGAGAATTATTTTATTATGTTTTATTTTTATTATTTTATTACTTCCCTTCTACGTGACTTTACCGAAAGAACCAAGAAGAAGAATCATGAATAGGTTACGTCCTCCACATGGACCCGCCCCTCATTAATAATCATGAGCGGGTGACGTCACTCCGCATGGAAAACCCCCCTCATTAATAATCATGAGCAGGTGATGTAATTCCACGTCGACCAGCCCCCCTCATTAATAATCATGAACAGGCTACGTCCTCCACATGGACCCGCCCCTCATGAATAATTATGAGCGGGTGACGTCCCTCCGCATGGAACCCCCCCCCTTCATTAATAATCATGAACATGTGACGTCATCCAAATGTACTCCCCCCCTCCATTCATAATTAGTAGCGGGTGACGTCACTCCACATGGGGGGGGGGGCGAGGCGCCTCCTCCCCCCTCCTCGGCGTCAACTCACAACCCTCACTACACAGGCAGAAGAATCCTCACGTCACACGATCTCCGTCACGCTGTTGAGACATCAAAGTAAAAAGGACGTCATGGTGAACAAGGGATTATAACCTTAAAATGAAATAGGTCTGTGTCACCGCGCCCTTACGAATTGCACACGAATTGATGCAATGAATATATCAACGTTTTTCGCTTGCAAGTTTCATATTTACTGCAATATGCCCGTCCTTGGACGGGCAAACAAGCTCTTAATGTAATGTTTATGCGAGAGCCGGGGGCTTATGGGACCCTGGGGTCCCGCCATAAGGTTAATTTATTGAATCACCCAGACGAACGAATGCACTCATCGCCTGCTGGGTGTAAAAGCAGAGATTTATCACCTACCCCAGTGCGTGTGTGCGTAATCACTACTATGCTATCATTATCCCGTCGCTGGCTTGCAGGGAAAAACCGGTTCGGACAAAGAAAGGGTTGGTTAACCCGCAGTGGACAGCGATCTGCAGCCTGACGCCTGCGCTGCCTGACGCCTGCGCTATGTGTGTGTGGTGTGTTGTGTGAGGATTGAACATCATCTGTTTTGGGGTTTACTGCAGACGTTTGCTTGGTGGGGGCATGAGTGACGAGGTTTAACAGAGGGAGACACAAAGCCGCATCTATTGCAACACATTGCCTCCCCGAAGGATCTGCGCAGCATGTAACGGGGCCGTGTGGCTCTGCGACACGGTATGCGTTTAAATAGGTGACATCCACACACGTGTACACACACACACACACGTGTGTGCGTACAGTACTGCACGTGGACACATACAGTAAGACGACGTTCACACACGGGAACGCGCATTCGGAGGCAGCGCAGTGTACAGAAACAAGGACTGCACGTACAAATGCAGAACACACACACGCGCACCGCATCGATTAGTGAATTGCATTAGAACGATAGATTCGGCAACGTTGAATGTATCTACGCTCGTACGTACATAAATACACGTACAATCAGTTCAGGTGGAATACAGCACGCATGGCCGTGCGTAACACGATCATCGAACGAGAGAGACGAGGAGCCGTGATGTTATCGAATACACCGAACGACAGATCATCCGTTCAGCTGCGTAGACTTATTGGCAAGTACTGTTAACACACGTACGTAACCTACACATAAAATAACACGCATACTGCTTTCTATACGTACACACGTACCCTTGTGTCGATACATAGACGCATAAACGCACACACATAAACAGCGCACACCACACACATACCGACCGGCGTCCAGCTCTCTGCTAAGCGGTGAGCACAATGAATGGAGGTCGGCGTTTAGGCGTATCGGCACTTCTTATGAGCGTGGCCACTGTGAGCCTCATCGTCATCATCACCACCTCGTCTCCCGGGTCAGCGATCGGCGACGACGACCGCCGCGAAGGGGGAGACGTGGCCGCGACAGGGGCCGGTGGAGCAGAAGGGTCTCCGGGCACACGCCAGGGCCCCTTCGCTCCTACGCCGTGCCCGACCACATGGAGTCCTCAAAGTGTCTCCCCGTCGCACCGCAAGGGCTTCACGGTGGTCTCCCTTCACTGGGACCACGTTCAGGAGCCGTACGTCATCGCTGTGTGGATACTCGTGGCCAGCCTGGCAAAAATTGGTGGGTTTAAAAAATAAAAGGTATAAAAAAAAAGCTGTTGTGTGTCGTTGTAGACGATGTGTGATGATGATGACGATGAAAGATTTGTTGGGTTGATTTGTGTTCAGCTCATGGGTTTGTATTTTTCAACAACTTAATTCCCAGTGCATCAAGTAACTTTATTTAACCAGGGCATGTGTGTCGTTTGAAATGTATTTATTCAAAAGGGGGCATTGGCAAGGTGACAGCCAAGATATATCTGCAATCGATTGACGGAAAATTGTAGCAAGGATGAAATATTAAAAGGTTGAATGTAAGGGTAAAAAGTAGCAACTAAATGAATGCTGTGCTGTACAGTGTATGGTTTGTCGGTGCTGTGCCAATGGTTGTGTTTTATATTCGATATTAGTGGCTGCTCTATGTATTGCAGAACACTGGCAAGTGGCACAATGATTTTGGCTGATCGTCACTCAAATATAACGTGACGTTCCAAATGCGCAGGGATTGTATGACCTTGATAAAGACAGCGGAATTGAAATGTGACTTTTACTTAAGCAAATTTACGGATATGCAAATATTGTAAATTCTCCTCATGTTAAACAACTTAAATACTTTCCGTACAGTAATTGCACGTTCAAAGATCCCGGTTATTGGCCTTTAACTTTACCATGACGCACGTGTGGATAGGTCATCACTTGACACGATTGTGCAATCATATTATATAGTACCTGCATAGAGGTGGTATTCAATGATTTGCTTGCTTTAATGCCCCACACTCTGCAGTTTCAGCACCACGGACAGCAACACACACACACACACAATCTCAATGTATTAAACTCCGCATGGTAACATTTGCTTTCGGGTTATATCCCTCCAACAGATATATTTTGGAAAACTCAACTCAATCATGGGAAGTGACATAGCGGATATTCCTCAAGAAGGACGTTTTCAATCAATCCATGCATATTACCTGCTGTGACATATATATTGGAAACGTGGGCACTGGCAGAGTGAACACAAGCTAAAAAGTGCGCAAAATGGGCAGGGAGAGATACATGCTTGATAGTACACTGAGAGATAGAAATAGGAATACAGATATCAGGGAAAGGACACAAATCAGAGGCATCATATTGACTATTACGACCAGTGGAGCTGGGCAGTTGAATGGACGAGCATGCCTGAGAGTATGACTGCTGTCGAGATGGAGCACTGAAGTCAGCTCGTGTAAGAGCTCCGTGGATTATTCTACCGTGAGACCATTTGCAGGATGGTAATGGCTTGTGGAGGCCTTCATCCAGCAGTGCAAAGAGAATGGCTTGTTATAGCAATTGCAAGAATGGTCTTCATGTACAATATATGTATGTAATTAACTTTTAAACCACCTTGGCATTCGCAGGTTTGTGTCATCTGATACGAGAGCATCTCGGACCATGGTTAAAATGAAAGCATTTAACGTCGCAACAAATGCATGCATGCAATTGGCTGACGAACAGCAATCTTCACATGTGTCATTTACAAAGGTAGAATAGCTGGTCCTAATTTAAACATGTTAGTGCCCAAGGATAATAATGATAATAATAAACAATGCCATGGCTAATTAGTTGAACCCAGTTTGAAAGCACAACGCGTATTAATAAAACATATGCCGTTGTGGCCACGTGATAATAAAATATTAAACATGCTATTTGTGTCTCAGAGGAAGGCAAGGTTGGGGGACGTTACAGGAAATCCAGTCTCCCATGGCACTTAATTTAGTTGTTATGGTGACTGCTGAGATCGTGTGTGTGGCATCATACTGGGGTTTTGTATTTGAAACAAGAAATCTAAAACGAAAAACTCACTACATGCTGTAACTGAAATGCAGAGTGCATCTGAACTAGATTATCAATGGCGTTGTTTGTGCCAAGGTTTTTTTTTACCAACTTGCATCACTCAATTACTATAATTAACAATGCGAAGATATCCACTTTTTTGCCAGATGAAGGCCAGCAGAAAGACAGTACAATATTACTTTTGCATGGTGGATTTGTACAGATAAGTGGTTACACCATTGTTGCCTCATTTAACATTCTATATTTGGGCAATGACATTTACATTTCATTACCCAATCTTGCAAAGCAATAATTAAATTAATGACGTTTGCGTTCAATCATCTGAGTGCCGCTGAGACAAAAGTATATTGGTAATGGGAATTTCTCAAGCTCTTCGCTGCAGATGTTGCAGCACACAGCACGTCATGGTTAGGTAACACCACACAAAAGGCAAAGCACAGAAACCTATTTTTGTTGCTTGTGGGTTGGAAATGCCACTGGTCATCGTAAGCAATCTATATACCAGCGCTAACAAGTTCTACAAATTCTCACAAGCAATGCTCTTGAACTTGCCAATGCTGTGGTCACAGCTTCAAGGTACATTCGTTTCCCCTTTTCCAATTGGGGTGTTTTGGTCATCGTAGTTCAAATTGCTATCTCTGAAAACCTAACAATAAATTGGCTATGCTATCGTGAAATGTATTGCTGTAAACTTTGATAAATGAGAAAGAGAAACACGTTATTGAGTAAAGGCTTGTCTAAATTGGTTTGTTAATGTGATAGTTTGTACCTGGATTTTTTTTTGGCTCAGTCGGAAAGAACCTGGTGTCTTACATTGAGACCTACTCATCATAATGAAAGTTGTAAGCTTAAGTCAGAACACTAAATTTGAAAGATTTCTGAGTACATTTTCTAAAGGTGTTTGCACTTATGCTAATTACAATATCGAGTGGATGTGTGACATACATATATAATGAAGTCGTGCAGCAAATGACCTGTGATTTTAAAATATATGAACGGAATTTTTTTGATTATAAGTACAATCAGTATCATCATCAGCGGCCGTGATCAATCAACTGCTGGATGAAGGCCTCCCAAAACCATTGCCATATCTCACGATTCTGCAATGTAAGTGAGTAAAGCTCAGTTTTATATAGCACCATTCACACAAGGGCTCACATCAATTTACAACAATATCCCAATAAAAAAACCCCTTAACATTGAAACGAATAGGCAAGCAACCCTACACAAACGGATACGCGTGAGATAATAAATGTGCTTTTGGACGAGGCCTTGAAAACCTCGACTGATGGAGCGTCCCTAACGGTTTGGGGGCAAGGCATTTCACGAACGAGGCGCCTGACTACTGAAAGCTCTGTCTCCCATTCGATGCAATCACCCAACATCTGCACACGAGCTGATACTATTGCTCCATTTCAGGTGGGCCCTGGGCCGTCACTCCGTCGTTAAGTCTTGACTACCAACCGTCAACTACCAACCGACTACCGACCGTCATCCCTCGCAGTGACGTGCACTGCCCAAGCCCATTTACCCCTCTTAACGGTCAAACGCATGTGTTCTGTAATCCATGCGGTATTCTTACCGTCTCTCAATGTAATTGCAAATATGCATCTCTTCGTGCTACCTGGCACACTTTTTCGTTTTGATTTAATGTTCTTTGTTAATGACGTTATATCTGATAATAATCTTTCCATATACTTGGTGCTTAAATGCCTCAGTAACTCAAACAGTGCATTATATAACATCTCATTCTTGATTTGAAGCTTTCGTGACTGCAGGAATTCATACTTTTTGGTTCTTTCGGTGAAGTCACGGAGGTATAAAAATAATAGATCATGACGTTTTGATCGTAACACAAGCAATCGTCATCAGGTGGGACAACCACAGCAATAAAAAACTGCTGAAGTAGGCGAGAGATCTGCCGTGGCGCTGCGTTGCACGACTATCCGAGTAGCTAACCTCGCATTCAATAAACTTTCAGAGCCAGGGTGAACATCCGACTCCAACGTATTTAATGAATATGTAGTGAGTCCAACTGAGTCGCAGATGTTTTTCTTTAGAGGCAACACATTTATTTGTAACATCAACACGTAACACAAAGGGGTAACTGCCCCTTCACCAGATACAGCCTAGGGTGGTGGGCACCCAGCTAACTACCTTATACGGAGGAGTTACAGCTACGAAGGGTCTGACCCTCACTCGGGTCCCGGCCACGTGTTGATGCCTGTTAGAGCTTCCAGCTTGTAGGACGTAGAGCTTCGAGCTTGTGGAATGCAGCAACCCCAGTCCCTCTCAGGGACCCACCTTATATCCCCCTCGGATCGGGGCCCCTCTGACCTTGGCCCCGCCCACCTTCTTGAGCGTTCTAGCTCCCTCTCGATTCCTCTTGAGAGCTCTCCCCGGACACGTGATCACCCCCTAGCCCTCCCACCTGCGGGCCTCTCTGACGGACACTCCGGATCACGTGTCTACGGGGTCAACCAGAGTGCCATGGCCCGGGGCAACCCTGCCCCTGGGCTGACACTCTCCCACTCCCTCTGGTGGGAGTTCGCACTACACGCTATGCGTGGTGCCCGTGCTATTCCAGTGCTCACCAAGCCCCGCTCGGGCTGGTACCACACCTGCCCACGGGTTGTACGCGATGACAGTGCATCGCACACCACAGCCCTCTCAGGCCGGTACCATACAGTGACATCCCCGATGTCACTACAAATAGAACAAGATGAACCTGATGGAAAAACACAGCACAAAATACAGCATCTGTTAATACTTGCAATATCATTACAATGAATGAACACTGCAGCATCATAACATCGTCTTAGATAACATGAATCTCAATAATAGGTCCTGGACGGACCAGGCACCAACATTAGCACTGAATAGCTATACAAAAAGAGAATAAGCTTGTGTGTTAAATAAGGTCACTTTGTGTAATCACCATACTGCTGCCCAAACGTACAGCGCTGCACATAACACTGAACTGTAGATGAGATACTTCTTGATCCTTGCTCTCAAGAACCCATTAAAGTTACATGGGCACAAGTCTGGCTTGACTTATCCAACTACAAATACCATTCACAATAATGCAAGTGGCAGGCTTCGTTGTTTACTAGGCCTCATATTTATCGTAACAATTTAACAGCATTGTAAAGGCATTTACAGCATTATAACGGCAATCCTAACATTATA